TTACCACGTAAGGCGTATCAAACAACAATTGATATTTGTGAATGACATGTATGTCGTAGTTTCATCTACTTCTAGTGAAAAGCAAATGGTTTCCTGATCTTATTTCAATTTCCTGAATGGAAAATTCTATAAAACCGAATGAAATGAAATTCAAAATAAATAGGATCAACTTCGGAATCTAAGTCGTCTTGAGGGTTAATAATTAACGGTTTTGCCTCTAAGGTCGCATCAATTATGTTATCAAGATCCACATTTTTTGTTCTTCTTCTATTACATGTCTTACTGCATCTTTCCAGTTTTGTTCTGTAATACTTTTCAAACTAATTTTCATTTGTGCCCAAATGAGTTCAATTGGATTTATTTCGCAGTGGTAGGGTGGAAGTCTAAGAACTGTGATGTTTCTCCTTACTGCCATTTTGTCAACTACGTATTTCTTGAACTTAGATTTGTGTGGCCGGGCAATTTTTAAAAGTTCTGCTTTTACCATTCCATCTTCGTAAGGCAGATACTTATTCCGCAGCCAGTCAAGAATATCCTGTTTCTTTCACGCAGTCGTTGGAAGTCTTTCTACTAGTCGTGAATGATAAGGTGCATTATCTAATACTATAATTGAATTTGGTGGTATGTGTTCTATCATCTGCTCAAAATACTTTTCGAAAACATCAGCTATCATCTCCTCGGGATAGTCTTTTTTGTGCTTTTAGACTGAAATTTCAACAAACATGCTTAACAAATCCTTTTTCACTGCCAATGTAAGAAGTTATTAATCTATTGCCTTTACCAGAAGGCGGGAGATACCAATAGACCAATCTTCCATAAAGGCTTACCTGAAGCTTAATATATTTCTATGTGACCAAATTTTTTTTAGAGCATGACCTGAGTTTACCCACGTTTCATCCTGGTAAAAGATTGGCCTTCCTTCAGCCCGGAATTTTCGTATGGATCTTAGATAATTTCCTCTCCAACATATAATCTCCTCTCGGTCAATCAAAGTGATTTTCGGTCTGATTTCTCCCACCGGAAATTTAATTCTTTTAAAACTTGCCACCGTTTAGTTCGTCCGATATGAGGCAAATCCGGGTCGTCTCTAACTTCTTGTAAAATTTTGTTTAGGTTTGGTATTTCTTTTTTGAAAAAAAAATCCATGAATTTTTCTTCGAATACCATTTTTCGCAAATTCATCAATTTCAATAGACTTTTTCCCTCTCTTTAAGTGTTCGTTTGTGTTTGGGTTAGCTATACCGTGTTTTTTTCTTTCTGATAGGAACCTATATATAGTTGACTCCCAAACGCTAGTCATGTTGGCACAACTTTCGACTATGTTGCGAACAGTGTTTGTGGGATTCTGAGAAACCAGAGCATCGTGAATATTCAGGACAATAGTCTTCTCTCTTGTTGAATAGACAGACTTACTGACTGTACGCAACAGTACCGGTGTAAAGCTTGAGGATGTTGATGATGAAGCCATCACAAAAAATCCAACAAAACGAGCACGAGCGAAAGGTACGTATATGTTCGTAGGTATATGGAATAAAAAATCACTCACGCAATGCATATAATTTGCAAAAGAAATATTCGAGACGCTAATTACTGCCGTAGACGCGGAAACACTGACGAGCCGTAAATTGCATGCGATCAAAAATATACTAAACAAAAAAATTGTTTTCGTTCGTAACAACTTCACCCTTTCAAGTTAAGTTTCGAATATAAACTGAACAGACGAGGCACGTGGCCAAAGCCAGCATCTTTATACCCATTATATTATTAAAAAACTGGGGAATTCCATCCTAATTATCTTGCAACGAATAGTACCTTCGGATATGAATTTCAGGTTTTCTAGTAAGTGATTAAACGCGAAGATTAGTATTGAAATATCCAAAGAGATAAGGTATTCTCATTTACAAAATGGTTAATGGTTAAAGTCTTATTTTTATTAATATAACATAGTAACCAACATTAGCCGTGAGAGTTTTAATGGTTTTTTGCTAAGTATATTACTATTAAAACATTATTAATATTAATATTTTGAAAAGGAAAATAAATGTAAAACGCATTAATTTTAATGAATAAACACCTCAGGAACGCCTATGATGATACAAATTTTACGACCGTTTTATGACTTTGAGGCACATTTCGTGCTCTCAACAATTTGCGAACGGATTATAGCAGTTACATGTTTTCCTTGTATAGCTACTTGACACTAACAGCTTCTTCTTATGTTTGAGTACATACACATATTTCAAGAATAAAATGATTGTGGCAACTACTACATTTAAATTTTAAAATGTACATATACATATTTCAAAAATACATTAACTTTGTAAGTACTTTCTTACTTTGATACGACTCGTTTATGTCTGGTGACTAATATGGCCTTCACAATAGCTTGTAGTTTCGAATTAAGGAAGCCTAGCGAAATACATTATCCTCAATTTTTTATTCAGAGGGTAGCAAATAATAGAACCTCCACGTATTCATACATGCATTGTACTGGCTCCTTGCCAGTAAATCCAAAACAAGTGGCGTTTCCTTTGCAGTTTACCGATAGTGATTACGAACAGAGAGAATTGCGAGGTCGTCGACCCCATGAAACACTACCAACCAGGTCTAGATAGAGAAGGTCGTTGTAGATTTCTAAGCATTTACTGGAATACGAGAGAGAATATTAATTATTGTTTTTACGCTGCTCAAAAAAAATGTGCGGTAAGCTATTTTGAATAAAAAATATTTTTAACTGAAATATACTGCTACAGGGAAATGCAAAAGAGGCCATGTTCGGGATTTGACAAATCCAGGTAGGAAATTGTTTACTTATCATATGCCTATATAAAGAAAACCTATACAGAAATTTCGGCGTCTTTTTTAATTATAAACAGTTTAACGTAAAAAATGCCAGTTTTAGATTTTTTTGCTTTCCATTACAAAGTTTAATATTTGAAGTAAAATTACAAAACTTTCTCTTTTAAAACATTAAATCTTTTAAAATGGTAAATTCTAAGAGTTATGAAATTAATTTGTTGCTTTGAAAACTGTAAAATCGTTAACAGTTTTTAACTATTGTAAAAATCAACCTAAATATTTATACCAAATGAAATTTAAGGGTTAAACTACCATAAAAGATTTATAATTGGCTGTTACTTTTTTTAACCAGTCTTCATTCACCTCTATCCTATTCATCGCTATTCTTTGTCGCTATGGTCCCGTTATTCTGTGGTCTCGTTACTTCATTTTTTATGCTTTTGGTGGAAAAAAACTCTTTATCTTTTCATTTCTGATACGATGTAATCTTGTTACTCTGCAATTTTTTGTCATATACTTAATGTTGGTTGCTATAACTTTCTTGCTCTTATTTCGTTTGTTCAAAAGCCCCCACTTTTCCGCTCCATATGACAATATAGTGCGTATCATAGTGTTGTAAATTCTTTTTTCTGCAGCCGTCCCGAAAATAAAACTTTCGGTATGTTTATGACATCGAAAGTACCATTTTACACTTTACACAACTCCGAAAACCGAAAGTAGCTACTTTCGGGAATAATTTTTTCACTTCGGGACGATTTTGGGTAGTTAGGTACCGATTGCTCCAGTTAATTATCCAAGGAAAGATTCAGAGCAAACGAAGCGTGGGGAGACGACGTATATCTTGGCTGCGCAATTTAAGAGACTGGTTCAAGTGCACATCTAACCGATATTTAGAGCAACAGCTTCAAAGGTACGAATAGCTATCATGATTACAAAACTCCGTAGTGGAGAGGGCACTTGAAGAAGAAGAAGAAGGTTATTATGACAACGCTTGTCATTTAAGATTCATGTGTTTTCGCTCAGTTTTTGGTTTTTAAATTTCAAGAAATGGAAATCAGCAGTACAAAATGAGTTTAGATTATATAGAAGACAAGTTAACCATGCTAGTGATTAAATTTCCAAATTCTAAAACGAACATGAAAAGAACCTTTGTGGTTATTGGGGAAAATAACATTTCTTTATGCAGAAAATATTTGTCATTACTTCAAGCCAACATTATGGAAGGTGTACTGTACAACAATTTTCGAAACTGATATTTTACGAGACGAGTAGAAAGGTTCCATGGAGAGCAGTAAGCGAGTCCTGGAATTTATATTTTTTCTGCAGCCGTTTTGTATTTTAAAAAAGAAAGTTTTTAAACTGTTTCGTGAATTAAACGTTAGAAAAATCTATTTATTAATATTAATAACATAATTATAACAATGATTTACATTGATATTGTTAGGAATATTAACAGAAGTGGCAGTATTGAAATTAGTGTTAAATGTGTCAGTACTTTTACTATTTTTTGAGATATTAACTTGGTTGCGGCCATTTTCAATCTGTGAAGCTATGTGAATTTTATTGCTTAAAGAATTTTTTACGTATCCCTCTGCTACATTAGTTGATTTCCATTCTCCGTGCCTTTTCAAGTTGGTTATAGTACCTATCAGCCAGTAAAGTGGCTGAGCTCCTTTATAATCTAAACTCATTTTGCAAAGA